TTTAGAGCACACCGCTCTTTACTGACATTGCAACTGAATGATGGACTTCCAGTTCTGAGGGAAGGCAAATTGTATGTTTCTCACTGGAGGCATTACTGACTTCTTCACCAAAAGATCCATTCCAGACTCATTTTCAACTGACAATAAAAAGAAGAGAACTTAACAACCCTCTTCCTTTTCGTCCACCACATACTTTATCTTAGTCAAGTCATTGATTCTATTATTATGCTCTGGTTTTGCAGGCTCCTGTATATGTGTCCATTTGTCTCCTTGAAGACATCGTTACTGTTTCCAGCTCTTTAACACACAATGCTCCTGAGCTACTCTAAGTGCCTTGGCAAGCTGACCCATCTATCAATAAAATGCTGGAATTTAGTGACATCCTCCTTCAGGATCCCTCAAAATTTTGTCATCTGTGATAACATCATACATATTTTCAGCCTACAGTTGAAATCTAACAGAGTTGGATCCATCCATTTTTAAAGCACTTTTAAACCTTCTAAGAAGCACCTTTATAAATACATCTGTTTTTCTGTACAGCTTTCTGGATTTCATAAGTAGCTTCAGAGCTTTCCATCCAGACTCTTAATGGAAATGAACAATGCTGTAGCTTTCCATAATAACAAGCATTCACCAAACACACAGCATAACAACATGAAATTTTAAGATAAATTTCCATTATAGAATCATTGTTGTCCAATGACTCAGCATTATGTGCAAAGCAACAGAGCTCTATGTAGCTGATAATCTGATTTCTGTAAATTTTTAGCTATGGCCTTGAAGCTTACACCTCACGTAAATCAAGCTCTTAATTATAATCTGGATAGAGCTAAGACTAACTCAGAGATGCCAAGGTTTTGGAGGGAAGCAGCCCTATAAAAATCATGTTGAATATATATTGCAATATTTGGTTGTGCACAGGGCTAAATATATCTTTTGAGCAGAGTTTGTTTCTCAGTCACAAAGGCAACAGCCTCAGTTAATAAAAAGAAATGGATGTTCTAGAAGTGTATCAGACCTCCCATAAGACTCTTTTTTATGTATATATTCAGGTATACAAAACAAGAGAATTTGTCTTTTCCATAACACACTTGCAGGATGGTGTCTGTTGATAAAGAAGACAAACTCTCAGTTTGTGTTTCACAGTATATTACCTACACAACTACTCGATAATTACAAAATAACAGCTACACTTTCAGATTTCAGAATTACTTGGGAAAAGCAGAAAGCTCCAATAGATGAAAACTGGAAAAAAAAAAAAAAGAGTGGCACCAATCAGGCATTTTGATTCCTAATTACTTCTGTCTTCACCCCTTTCTAGCAGTTGATACATGGGTTACACCAGACCATCTAAACTGGATTCCTGCAATTAAGTGTACATTCACATCTAAATGGTAAATGACTGTATGGGTTTTGCACAGCAAGGTTTTGGTAGCAGGGGGCTACAGGGGTGGCTTCCGTGAGAAACTGCTAGAACTTCCCCTGTGTTCAACAGATACAAATGCCAGCCAGCCCCAGGACAAATGCACCATTTGCCAAGGCCAAGCCTATGAACAATGGTGGTAGTGTCTTTGGGTTAGAGCAACAACTGTGCAGATACCAAGGTCAGTAAAGAAGAAGAGGGAGGAGGTCTTCCCAGACATTCCCCTGCAGCTTGTGATAAAGACGGTGGTGAGATATGTTCCCCTGCAGCCCACAGAGGTCCATGCTGGAGCAGATGTTCACCTGCAGCCCCCAGAGGAACCCCTGCCAGAGCAGTGGATGCCTGAAGGATGCTGTGACCCCATGGGAAGCCTGCACTGGAGCAGGCTCCTAGCAGGACCTGTAGACCTGTGGAGACAGGAGCCCATGCAGGAGCAGCTTTGCTGGTAGGACTTGTGACCCCATGAGGGTCACATACTGGAGCAGCCTGTTCCTGAAGAACTGCACCCCATGAAAGGGACACATGGTGGAATAGTTCATGAACAACCGCAGACTGTGAGACAGACCCGTGTTGGAGAAGTTCATGGAGAACTGTCTTCCGTGGGAGGGAACCCACAGAGGAGAACGGGAAAAGTGTGAGAGTCCTCTGCCTGAGGAAGAAGGAGCAGCAGAGATAATGTGTGATGGAACTGACCACGGCCTCCATTCCCCATATTCTTGCACTGCTGGGAGGAGGTGGTAGAGAATTGAGAACAAAGTTAAACATGAGAAGGGAGGAGTACGGGGCAAGCGTTTTTAAGATTTGGTTTACTTCTCATTATCCTGCTCTGATTTGATTGTTAACAACTTCAACTAATTTCTCCCAGTCAAATCTGTTTTGCCCATGACAGCAATTGGTGAATGATCTCTCCCTATCCTTACCGTTGACTCATGAGTTGCTCATTTGTTTTTCTTCCCTGTTCAGCTGAGAAGGGAAGTGATAGAGCAGCTTTGGTGGGCAGCTGGCATTCAGCCAGGGTCAAACTACTACAATGACATATTTGAACTTCTTTTCTAAGAAAACTGCTTTGAAATGTATTACCAGATGCTTATGTAACAGGTGGCTTTTGCCATATTCTGTGCAAAGGGAATTGCACACAAACAAGTTGTTCCTCTGGCAGACCTTCCCTCTCAAGCAGTGGGAGACTGTATTTTCAGAGAAGGCACTTGCCTGTGTGCTACATGTTCACTGCTTCTCATTTGGAGTTCATGTGTTTTTTGTAATTAAATCTACTTGTTTTTAGGATATGCCCATGTTCGCTCTCTCTGACTTCTCTACTGGAGAATCGCCTTGGAAGAAAAGAAGCATTTACCTCTTCCGAGAAAACGACAACAAATTTTGAAATTCAGGTCAAGGCCACTGCTGTCAAGGCCCTGATTCTCCATCACTGAACACTGAAGTAATGACAAAATCTTGTGTTTTCACAAGTAAGCTCAGCTTGCATTTTTCCCATTCATAGCTTCAGTTTAGGTTTGCACATGATTGATTTTGTTCTGTTTCAGGCCAATATAAATGAGCAGCTCCTGTCCATTGGAGGAAATGTAGCCATGCCACATATCAGACAAGTGAGATATTACCTTCTCATCAGCATGTCCAAAGCAGCCCCAGATATAACAAAACCCTAGCCTAGAAATAAGAGCCTGTGCTACAGATATGGATGAGTCATATGGGGGCACATAAGGACATACAGGTCATCGCTGAATAAGCTCCTGCATATGCAGAGCTGAACAGTTCTCAGCCGGGAGACATTATGCTTTAATAAAGTTTATGCAGAATCAGTACGTAAAATTTTTGGTACACGTTCAACAAGGACTTAAAATACTAATTATAGTTCAATAAAAAAATTGTTCCATCTCAGTTTGAGGCCCTAAGAGTTAATGTTAAAAGAAATGGATAATCTCAGTGTCCAAGAAATATGCCTGAACACTTCAGAGCTACTTTTAAAAGATAGTTTACAGTGAACACCAGGTAATATAACCTGTCACATAATATAAATCAACTTAACATGGGACGATTAAGTACCAGACAAAAAAACTCCTCTTAATTGAACATAGAAATCTTTGTAATTCTGCAAAGAAATATTCAGATTTGTCTTTGAAACAGTAACTCTCTTAATATCATTTGCTTGTCAGCATTTGTTCAATACAGTTTTATAATTTTTTTCCAAATTACTCTGCAGCATTTCAATACATTTATTATGGCTCTTGGTAAATGCACACAAACATAAAAAAACTCCCGTATATACATGTTATAACCTCTTTTATTTTAAAGTCAGTGAAATATTTCTATGCATATTTTACAAAACTACATTTGCTTTCATATACAAGGCTTGGGTACTTATTTCCTTCTTAAAATAAATTGTTTTAAATTGAACTTAAAAACTTACATATAATGATCACAATTAAACCAGAAAATAAATCCTATGTCATCCTGGTAATCTACCTGAGTTAGTCAAAACTGGAAAAAGCACATAGTAGGCACTTTTATACTAACTAATCCACAAAAATCGAAACACCTTTATTTTGGGGAAAACAGGAGCAGCCAAAAGAGCCTGACACTAACTACACTGGGTGTGCTCACTGTAGTTTACATTATGTAAAACCCATCAGTTAAGGGAAACAAAAATTATGGTATTTCCACAGAGATTGAAATGTACTTGCAGTGGTTGCTCCCTACTACTGTCAATGTTCATTCAGAAGTTTCAGAGACATAAACATTGTCAAGCTTCAGAGAAATATTTAAAAAATCTCCTTAATGGTCAAAATAATTCCTGCACTATTTAGGAAGCCATCCTTTGTCTGTGAAATATTACAGAATATACATATTCAGATCTATAATTCATTTTGAGGGAGGTCCTTAGTAGGCAAATAATGGTCTGTGATTTTTAAAATGTTTAAAAAGATAAGAAGCTATTTTTACTGCATAAATTGACTTATGTTTTTTTCCTTTCTGGGATAGTTTAATAAAAGGCACAATATTTTGAAAGTCATTCCTTCACTCTTGATATTTTCATTTCTTATATGACTATGGCACATATAATTTTGAACCTGTCTTTGTTGCTGTCTGACAGTGCTCCAAGGGAGGGGAATCCATCTTAAATAATCTGTGCATCTTCCCCAGCTCCAAACGCTCAGAACAAATGGAGGAGCTGAGCTGAGCTGGGCTAAACTGAGCTGAGCTAAACTGAGCTGATTTTCCTAAATTTTACTCAGCTGTTTGCTTCAAAAAGGATTGTCAGAAAACACAGGAGCATCTGCAGGTGTCGCCTATCTGCAGCTAACTACCTCTTCTCATAAATGATTTTGAAAGTGTTTTTTATATATATAGACACACATAAAAATATATGTATCAATATTAAAAAACACCAAATATCAAGGGATACTTTAGTTTGGACCATGCATAGACCTGAGAGACAGCAGTAATTTTACATTTTGCTTTTCATGAGTCTTTAGAAATGCATACACTAGAGCCATTAAACTACAATGAATACTGTATTTCTTCATTCTTATGTTTTCTGAGCAACTTGTTGTCTATATCACTAAACTTGTTGCCTTTAGCAAGCTTTCTGTACTTTATTAAGAGACTTTAAATGACAACTTAAATGACAGAGAACAGGCATTCTACGACAAACCTCTGTTTTCCTCATTTTTTTGAAAGCAAATGAGTTTTCCTTTCAGAGACATTGGCAGGAATTCTTACTGCGATGGTAGAAGGAACATTGTTTTTTCTTAAACACTGCCTTCATTTCTCAACCAAAGCAGACAGTGTGCTGAAAGCTACCAGTGGCGCTGGGTGCAGCTCCAAAGACTATCAAGAGCTATTTGAAATGAAATTTTGAAATGGCTCAGAAGTTCTTAATCGCAATCTTCTTTCAATTTCATGCAACTGTAAAAGTAAAAATAAAACCATAATCTGTTTAACTCTAAAACTGTTGTTACAGTCTGTGGCCTTATGAATAGCGCCTTGAGAGGGCAAGTACCACTATTGTGGTTCCCCACAATAACAGCAGTGAGATAAAATTTGCTCAACAGCCTCATTTATCATCATAAAAATTCAATATCTTGGACATTTTCTGTTTACTGTGCTTGAACTCGGAGAAAGACGAGATAAGGTTAAGAAAAACACATCAGAGATTACTTGTCACTTTAAAGCACCTCCTTGTGTTAACTGTTTTGTGCCGTAGGCTCTAAAATACCAAAACATCCTCCCAGACTGTGCTGAGAAGTAGCAGCTGAGCAGTTCTGTGATAAAGTACACGATAACTCAAGTGAGTGCTAGCTACAAGTGTTTGCAAGTATTAAGAATAATACACTAAGTAAAGCTCAACCACTCCTAAAGCAAAGGGCTGACAGCTCGGGTGGGTGGAGAGCCATAGAGATTAAGAGTGTAATAAGATAACACAGCTTTCTGTGCAGTGTAATGGAGCTGAAGCAAAAGTGGCAAAACAATGCTCAGAGCAAAAGCAATCTAAAACAAAATTAATCTTCTAGCATCAAACTACTCTCTTCCTTCTTACTGCTTTTTTCATTGCTCCAGGATAAGTATCAAGTGCCTCATTCAATTCCCTTGACCTGAGACATCCTAAGTATGGGTGAGGGATTACAAGCCTGGGATAGAACAAATCAGGGCTGAAAAAAACATGTTCTCCAGTAAACCTGGGGGCAGCGATCTACCAGCAAGAAGTGATCTATCCACTTTGGTCCCTCGGTTTCCAGGCTCAAGCTTCCCAAGATGTAACTCTCTACAGTACACCAGAAAAATTGCAATGCAATTGCACAGCTGAAATGAGAGATGAGCCAAAGACAATCTAAAAACTAGAATCAACAGACTGGGAAGCTTAAAAGTTGGCTGCAGTGAGCACCTTAAACTCAGCAGAGAGCTATGTAACATACTCTTCTGCTGCTGCTCTCTTCCAGGCTCCTCCAGCTACATAAATCACACTGAAAGATCTTTACAGGGTCAAAACGGAATTGAAAAGTGATTTCAAATATTATGTTACTAAGCAGTAGCACACCATTGGAAAATAAAATGTAATTTATGTCTCGGCACAGATAAGGAGTCCGCTAAGCTAGTCCCAGAGAGCAGTTCTGGAGCACAAGGCAGAACAGAGTTTATTACAGATTATTAGCAACTAAGCATTTCCTTTGTGTGCTTATTACATCCAATGCATATGTATACCGACTAGAATTTTGGCAGTATTGTAATATAACTGAGAGAGAAAATACATTCTCAAAAACATGGGTGTGGTTGAGATAATTTTTGGTTACCTAATTTAAAACAATAGGCTTTTTAAAAGCTCTACTGACACGGTATCAGATGTTAAACTGTAACTTTAAGATCACCACAAATATAGCTGCCATGTGTCATACCAGGAAACTCTGCCATTATTTTCAGTTCAAATAGTTTTATTGTAATACAGAATTACAATGTTTCAATTTTTTTTCTAGGCTACTGCCAGAAATATGTCTAAAACAAAATAAAACAAAACTAGTTTTTGTTTTGCTATTACTCCAGTAAGATACATGAAATATCAGTTTTCAATTAGTGCCCTTTTGTTACTCCCTGTTTGACTCACAATCTTCACTATTTTGGATGAAGAGGGATCTTACGCTCAGGAAACAGCACAATTAAATATCATCATTCAAGCTCTCTGCAGATCTTTCCAACTTTTCCCAATAAAAATACAGAAAAACTAGGACCAGTAATTCTAATATTTGCTGTACAGAAAGTGAACATGAGTAGAATGAAACAAGCCAGAAAAAAAAAATTCTAAGGCTGACAGACCACTGTAAAGCACCAGTGAAAAGCCTGGGCAAACTTTGTTTGGATTCACAAACTGAGATCTAAACAAGGTTTGCAAGGATAAAAATAAACAAACCAATATTTTCCTGGACAGTGTTTGCCCTCTAGGACAAACACTTGGTGATATTGACTTTGTGGCAAGGAGAATGACAGTTGGAGTCACAGAAGTTTATCAAAAAAGCCATCTTCCTTTCCTCCCACTTGGCAGAATATAACATTACCTTAGCAGAGCAGGTTTCAGAACTTGGGCTTTACAAAAACTATGAATTTTTACCTTGTGTGTTGCTATAAAAGCACAGACCCTGGGAATCACCTCAAAATATAGTATCTTCAGCCTGAAATTCTGTTTGCAACCAAGACTGGACATTGTCACATCACCAACTTTGGCACACAGGTGGGCAAACCCCAATCTGCACAGGCTGGTGCTGGAAGACACCATTCCCTTTGGTTTAGCAAAGCACTGTGACGTTTGCCTTCATCAGTTCCATGGAAATCTGGGGCTGAAAGGCCATAGTCAGAGGGTTTCCAGGGGATGCATGGGGCTTTCCCACCCCACAGGTGACATAACCCTATGCCTGGTTCAATTCCAGGCTCTGCACATGTGCCTCTAGGGTGACAGTTCCTTTACAGAGACAGCCTCACAAAGCTAAAATGACCCAGGAGCAAACAAGCACAATCATGGAGTGAACGACATGGAAAAAGAAAACTCTGATATTCTGTGTACTCCAAGAAAAAACCCTTCCTGAGCTTACTTATTCATATCTGACTTCATACTTGACAGTCATTTATCACTTCCTACCTCTACCCCAACACACAAATTAAAGGGAATCCTGAATGCACAACCTGGGACTGAGTGCATACAGAAACAATGTAGGACATACAGCTTTGGCATACATGAAGAGACTCCTATTTAATCTATCATGTGTAAAGCAGAGAAGATTTTACCACAGATTACTGGCAATGTAATGGACAAGAAATACATCCTGCTGGATTAGACAACAAAAATGTTGATTTCTTAATAGGAAATATACGGACCATTCAACTGCATGGATAACTAGTACTGGCCAATTCTTGAAATTACTAATTGTTGCAATCTCACTGTGTTAGTATCCAGGAGATTCTTCAATTTTATGGCCTCTGAATGTACAAAAGAATAACAATTGTGCCCCTGGGTATTAAAATAACATGTTGAAACAATCAATGGCTGCTGTCATACCCAAATGTTTACCATACACAGATCCCCCGTTTAAAAGCTCACAAGACACAAAGCGAGCAGACAATACAGGTGCATACTTATTTCCTAACATCTAGAGGAGTTTTCAGCAGTTGTAAATCAGTGTAACTCCACTAAGATCTATTACTTGATTTTGGCTTATGACCATGTTCTTTCTGGCTCCAAAATTCTACAATAACATTATTTTTCAGTAAACATAACTCAGGAACACTAATTAAACAGGCCTTAACTTAAAATAGGAAGTATGGACAAACAAAAGCTACCTGATTTCATGTTACAAACTGTTTAGGACACTCAGTCCCACTAAGACAATGATTCCTCTATAGCTGTCAAAACAAACACAGATTCAGTTACACATACTGCTCAACAGCTGGTTACTTTAGATTTGCATCAATACACAACTGATGGATTATGTAACTACAAGGGAAGACAGAAGCATCATAAAAATATCATCATGAATTCAGTTGCCTGTGTATTGCATTTGCAAAAATCCTAGTCTAGACACATAATAGATAGATATCCCAATCTAACATGCCTGCAACAATGTTTTCTTAGGAAAACTTCTGTGACTGCTTCTGTGAGTAACATACAGAAGAACACTGGAGAAAACTCTGAATGCTTCACTCCAAATTTTATAGGTTTTTACCACTGGAAATCTTTACTTTTTGTTGAAGATTTTTATTGTTTTTTAAGCCAACAAAATTTTATATAATGATTCTAACTACTCCAGCCTAAGTTGATGAAATTTCTTTAAACATCTAATTTAATTTAAACAGTGATTCATTGTTTAAAGACCCAATGACATTTCCTGCCTTGATGTAAATTTAATACAATTGAAAGAAACTGAGCACTACAAGAAGTCATCCATTGCTATATTTAATATAATGGAGAGTCATGTAACCACAGAATATAAACCTTTACTCTGAAAGGGTTTATGGGCCACAGGAATCTCTCTTTCTCCTAAAAGTAACACCTTTATACTGAAATAGCACCTATTCCTTACCTGAAAAGAGTTCATGCATCGAAGCGAAGGTGGAAGAGATGCGGTGCTCAAACCCAGCATTAGCAGTAATTCCAAACATGTTTCTGATGGAAACTTTAAAGGATGAACTCCCATATCATTTTCCCATGCATCAGCAAGGCTATAAAGTTAAAAAAAAAAAAAAGACCTTTTTCATTTTCTTAAAATATATCTAAACCATAAGTTTCAAGTATTAGAATTTGTCTTATTATTGTGAAAAAAAACCTCCTTTCACATTTTCCTTGTAAAAGTCAGTGTGTTTTACCAAAAGACAAGATGAATTTAGATGGAGCACCTTAACCATATCACCAACTGTTAAAAACAATGTGAAAGGAAAACTTAGCATACATAAGAGAAATTCACTCATGTTTCTAATGCAAAGTTTCATTCCTTTGGAACAAAATTTCATTTGTCACTGGCAATTTCCCAAACTGACGTTTATGATGCTCACACTGCAAACTTACCAACAGTCTACACCAAGCAAAAACTCAATTCCAGTTCATTTTATACAGCTTTCTGCTTTAGACGTATTAAAAAGATAAAGATTTCTACAGCTTTAAGAATTCAGATTTCTAAAGCACATTCCTATAATCTGTTCCCACTACTGCATGCTGAAGAACAAGATTAGTTCAACCAGATTTACTCAAAACACAAGATCATTCCACTTCCTATTGTTCAGGTCTATTTTTTCTATAATGTACAAACTGATCAGTGATCAGTGATCCAGTTACTTTAATAATTTTACCTTCCATATTATGCTCATGAGCAGCTAGCAGCAGACACTCCAAAGTAAGATGGATGCCAATTATTCTCAGCAGACCTGAGAGCGTCACTTTGGAAGACAATGCTAGCTAGCCTTCCATGTCCAAGACTTCAAAGTTTCAATAAATAATTTTTGAATCAGCTTTCACTTTTAAATTCCCGCAGCTCTTCCAGCTGAATCACTGCTTGTGAAAATATCAGCTTATTTTAATGTACTATCTAGAAGTAGCTGCATTTTTTAAACACCCAGAAGAGCAGTCATGACTCCAATATTCAGAATGGTGAAAACTGGGCAAATATTGTCTTCACATTATCTGTTTCCTTCTGGACAGTTCTCATTCTCTCAGGTCTCTCAAATCCAACAATTCTCTGTAAAGTCCTGCTTCTTACACATAGGCTTGCTTATACACTTATTGTACATAGCACCTTCTTAGCTCTTCTACAAGACAATCCTACTTAGCATAATTTAATTTACACACCTTTCTTCAAAGAGTGGGTGTATTTTCACTTTCTTACATCCACTTGTTTGAAACGGTCTCTTGAATTTCAGCTATTTGGGTTTTTTCTTTCCTAATATCTACATTTTTTTCCTCCTTCCTCACTTATCTACGGGTATGTAAGAATCCAATTCTGCTTCAGTACATAGAAGCAAGACCTACGATGCGCTCAAGGTCAGAGGGGCTTCAATCTCCCTAAAAAAAGGAGTGCTTTCTCTCACTCTGTTTATTTTTTTTAATCCACAATAAAAGACAAAGAGAATCGTATCACAACTAGATTACCAAATACACCATGTCTTTTCTCAACCTTCACTAGAGTGGGTCACTTTGACAAAAGAAGGTCTAAGTTTTACATGGGAAGGAGAAGAAGGAAGGCAGTTTGGTCTAGGCACCCTCTGACTCCTCTAATGGCAGTGCACCATTTAAGATCTCCACATATGTCTGAGATGCTACAAAAGGACAGAGGCCAAAACCTGTCATACATTAACAGCCATTATAATATGTACTATCTCACTGGACAATTATACTGTGCCACACAGATCTGGAAAAGCTGTTAAAAGCTACCACAAAAGAAACCCCCAACTGTGAAAAGTTTAGAAGACACTCTGGAGTATTTTCCCTACTGAAAGATACAAGCCTTCAGTTAAGTCCTAAATACTATATCTATATTGAAAGGAAGCAGGATTCTTTCACAAGACTACACAAGAGATCAAGCCCAGAAGAGGTAGCCCTGGTTCAGAGATCCAGGCTGAATGGGGCTCTGAGTTTCCCTGCCCACAGTAGGGGGGATTGGAACTAGATGACCTTTAAGGTCCCTTCCAACCCAAACCATTCTATGATTCTATAAATATTCCAGAAGGAACACTCAATGCTCAGTGATGAACACTGAGCAGCCAGTAACCAAGGAGTCTTGTTAACTGTAAACCAGAACTGAGTTTTATATTTCTTTTTCAGTTCGTAATTTCATTTCCACACATAATTTGAAACTTACCTTTATATGTTCCTTACTCAGTGTTTGTTCTACATTTTTAAAGTGTGGTGATAGAGGCAAATTTAGGTGAAGCTAGTAAAATTGGGGCTTTCTGTTTTTCAGAAATCAGCAAGTCTAAACAAAGCACTGTGCAGGCATCTTCAAACACAGCTAGAGAATTTGGAGATTGGAGGTGATATGCTAAGGTTCTGGGTCTTGGGAAGGTGTTTCCACAGATCAACACCCTCCCTGCAAGGAAACTTTTCAGAACTCCAAGCAATATTCAAAACATCACAACTTACTTTAGTACCCTGATTCTATTCTTGTGTTTTGATTTGAGGATTTTTTGGAGATGTCTTCTTGTTTTAAAGTCCAACTAGTACAGCCCTGACACTGAACAAGGGCTTTTTTTTGTGGCTGTTGGTTTATTTGAGGGAAAGAATGTTTGCATAAAGACATTCAGCCTAACTATATTGCAATTCTTGTTTATTAATTGCTCGGTTATTAGTATTTCCTGAAATGATTCCAGTGTATTCCCTTAGTACAAACAAACCATGTGTATCCTAGCACTTACTGCTCCAGGAACACTCATGTTAGGAATTAGTCTTTGCTACTTGTCCTTTAGCGGCATTTAACACAAGTAGTTGTGGGAAGTCACTGTTTTATTAGATCCTTTCTCTTTGTTCTTTTTTAACTCTATTATTTTTAGAAGCATTTTTCCCTAATCTTTATAGTAGAGGAAGGAGAAAAGCACCTATGCTTAAAACAAAAGCAAAACAAAACATGAAGAACCCACTGTTTTTCACCTTAGTTTCACAGTTTTTCTGTGTAAGGAGAGTTGTCTCACTTCCAGTACAGGACAGGAGACAGCTTGCTTTCCATTTACTGGAAGAGGTAGATTGGTTGCTAATGCTCCCCAGGAGAGTGAGCATTCACAGAGGACAACTCAGCCCATCGGCTCAGCGTTTCCTCCCAGACTAATCTGAAATGCCAACAGAGCTCCTCAAACATGCAAACAAAACTGTGTTTTGCTCTCCTGATCTTAATGGAAAAAAAATAAAATTCAATTTGATATTAAGACAGGGCAAATTGTCAGAAGGAGATTTTGGAAGGGCTCAAGAAGAAGACAAGAAAGAAAGATGCAGGACTCAGATGTGGTAACTCTGAGTTACCATTACTCTGCATGGTAACTTCGGATGTAGGGCTTTGCATCCATGTGTTGTCTTCTACTACTTCTTAATACTTTTACTCAGCAATGAATTCTTGCTTCTAAGTTTCCCTTGAGTGAAAGCAGTGTGAATAAAGGCAGAAGACAGCATAATTCCCAAAGAAGACAGGACAGCTTGCTATGTTGACTGAAAGAAGTAAGGGAGAGATAGGACGTTAGCTGGAGGAAGGTAGGAAGGTGAGGGTAACAAAATAAATAATGCTCTTCTTCCTTCAGCAAACATTCATCTTTTCTGCAATGCAAAGAAGCCTTGAGATTCTGGACTTCATAGTCTGATAAAAGAAAAAAATTATGACTCTCAGTATCAAACAAAATTCATAAATTCTACAAAGATTACCTAAGTCATTGCGGGGTGAAAGACTGGATCTACTTTGGACTAATTTTATAAGTAAAATCTCACCACTACCTACTGACCTTGACAGTGTTTGAGGGAGACGTGAGTCAGCTTTAGAAAACAGGCTTTAAAACAGTAAGATGTAGTAAAACACACTCAGTAAAATGGTCCAAACTAAGAGCATGTTCTGAGTTAAGAAAAGGACATGTCAGAGTGCATTTTTTCACAGGACATTGAATCCACCTATGTAAATCACCATCATCATCCAGTTTTGTCTGTCAGTGATCTCACCAACAGGAAAACACAAATAATTCTAAGCATTTTGTCTGTCAGTCCATTTGTTCAATATTCTCCTTGTTTTCTTTATCCCACTCTTCCCCAGAACTTGTATTAACCCTCTTAGCTTATTTCAACCAACTTTTCTTAAGAAAGATCACAAACAAATTAGGTTTGGGGAAGTTTCATGTTTTCCTGAAAATCAGTGCCTGAGTAGTGAGAAGAAATGCACATTAGTTACTCCACAGAGAAAAGCTGTCGATGGAATGCAGCAGCATACATACCGGCTAATCAAGTGATGTTTACCTGGGAGAATATTAGCATAAACTCAACAATATGACATTTCTATCTAACAAAACCAACTACTATAAGCAAAGTAAACATGTTCTTCACAGCCCACTCCCTAATGAGTGAGCCAAACTGAGAGACTTGGTGCTTTCACTTAAGTGCAGTCAATTTTGTGGGTTCAGGACAACTGAAAAAGAAATCTTAAAATTTTGAGGCAAGAAGAAAGATTGCTGATAACAGAATTGATCACCAGTAAGAACAACAGTCAGAGCTGTTCCCAGTGTCAACCAAACTTGAGATGCTGCCTCTGCGGATTAAAGCAAAACCTCAAACCCACTCCTTCTGTTCCATCTAAGAGATATCTATTAGTCTCACCCACAAAAATACAACAAATAGACTTAAGATTAAAAGGTATAATTAGAACCTTCATATAACTTTAATTTTAGAAAGACAGAACCACATATAATGAATGCTAATAAAACTTTAGTATATTTCTGGCAAACACTTCAGAACTCAACTAAAGCTGTACAGAAAGTGAAGAAGTAAAACTCTGCTTAAGGGGAAGATACTTGGCTACTATTCTAGATACTGATGAGAAATAACTATGTGCTAAACTGTTATGAATGGAGCATTCAAAACAAGTAAGAAATAAAGATGACAGGCTGAGATCATCTTCCCCCTTATCCTGTTCAATGCTTTCTCTAAGGAATGGGTTGCTTGAAGGAGAATCTTAGAATATGACATGATTGCCACATTCCAAATAACC